ATAATTGTATTCCATTTGTTTTCCAAAGCTTTAGGGAATGCCCAGTGTTGTTTTCTTTCTGATTTATGTGAGGGGTATTTTTTTTTTTAAAGTTCATTTTTTTGGGAATTTCCAAATTGTTTCCTTAGGGAAAAGGTAGCTATTTTGAATGACTGTAGATCACATTTGACATATAAAGAATTTTGTCAACATTTATCCATGCTGACCAATGACTCTGTTCAGAACTTGAAAGGACAAAGCGGCATGCAAAAAACATTTCCGTGACTAAAATATTGTTATAATTGGAAATAACCTACAATTGTCACCCTCCCCGTTACCTTCTTCTTTCATCAATTAATGCACAGATTATTTTAGATTTCAATAGTAGTTCATTTTAGCATATGCATGTGGTTCTTAAAATCCTAGCTGGATAGGATTTAGTGATTGCATATGTACGTTTATGTGAAACCTTTGTCTTAAATCAGAAACCAGAGCTGTTTCTTGACCTTTGGTCGACTCTATATAACTATCTAGTTCTGATAAGCTATAACAAATCTAAAAATTGTCTTGTATTGAAGCCAGGAGTAACAAAAGGCCAACTAAAATGATGAAGCACAAGTTCTCTAAAAGATCTAGTATCACATTACTTGGTTACTTTGTCTATTGAGCAAAACCCAACTAATTTATTATTTTTATTATTGCTCTTAGTCATTCCTGCTTTGGCTCCGTTAATGAGACTGGGAAAAGGCTTTTATTTAGGTCACTGTTTTCCAACCTTTCTGGTATGGCGGCCCACAAGTCTAAATCTCATTGGTATGGTGACAAATGATTTATTGTCACACGAAGTTTGGACCTTATATCTTTGGCAGCCATCAATTTCATGCATTTTAAATGCAAGTTTTACCATCTTCTAGCTGGAGTGGTATAGCAGTTAGAGTAGCAGCTTGAGGGACCACATAGGTTTATGGCTGTAGAACAGCCTTCCGCAACCTGGTACTTTCCAGATGTTTTGGACTATAATTTCAGCTCCCACCAAAACATCAGGAAGGCACTGTGGGGAAAGCTACCAATGGACTTTGAGTAACCATGTTTGATTGGGTTGCTACTCAGTGTGGTGAGTTATACTTAAGCCCGTGTGGTTATAGTGATTAGGATTTTGGACTAGGACTTGGGATAAAGGTAAAGGTAAAGGGACCCCTGACCATTAGGTCCAGTCATGGCCGACTCTGGGGTTACAGGGCTCATCTCGCTTTATTGGCCGAGGGAGCCGGCGTACAACTTCCAGGTCATGTGGCCAGTATGACTAAGCCGCTTCTGGCAAACCAGAGCAGCGCACGAAAACGCCGTTTACCTTCCCTCCGGAGTGGTACCTATTTATCCACTTGCACTTTGACGTGCTTTCGAACTGCTAGGTTGGCAGGAGCTGGGACCGAGCAATGGGAGCTCACCCCGTCGCAGGGATTTGAACCGCCGACCTTCTGATCGGCAAGTCCTAGGCTCTGTGGTTTAACCCACAGCACCACCCGCATCCCTAGGACTTAGGATACTTGGGCTCAAATCCCCACTTGGCCATGAAGCTCACTGGGTGATCTAAGAAAAGCCACTGTCTCTCAACCTAACAGGTTGTTATGAGGATTAAATGAAGAGGGGGAGAACTATATATGCCACCTTGAGCTTTTGAAGATCAAAGTGGAATATAAATGCAAATGCCAAACAACAACAACAGCAACAACTTGTTAAATTACACATTCAGAGGAAAACACACACACACATCTGAGCTTCTTCAGCTTGGGAATCTTGCTTGGCTAAGGCTAGCTCTGATTCTTTTGCCAGCAAGAATGCAAGAATGGTGTTGCTGGATTCCGTAATTACCGGTACCTTATCTCACTGAATCTCTAGGCCAGGTTTACAAGCAAAATAATGCCTTTTTTCATTGGCAGCCCCACAAAATATGATTCCAAGGATGACCCAATTCTGCATGGCTTCTCCAATTCTTACAGGCAGCATAAGTTATTAAATAGGACAATCAATAATATCTTATAGAAATCCCTAACAGTGATTGAACTAAGATGACTCCAGAGTCTTCTATGAAAACATTGCTGAAATTATTCCCAAACCTCAGGATGATAACTCTTAGTTCTTATGCTCCAAACCAAGCTAAACAGCCATGCTACAGCTGATCAACACAGATAAGATTGTCTTGAGAAGCCTTAGAAAATCCACTTCTATTATATTCCATAGGCATTTCCTGTGAGTAAACCTAGACAACTAATAAAACATAGGTTCTATTGCTTGTGTTTTATTAGGTGCTGATAAAAATTCCTTCTCTGATTCAAGGTGATGTTAGTGGTATTTCATTAAATGGAGTAGATCTATATGTAGGATTTTCCCGTTGGAATTACTCAGAAGTATCACAAGGGGCTTTCAAAGTGCTGATTCTGATGTAATGTTATCCACATCCATCTCTCTCTCTCTCTCTCTTTCTCTTCTGCCACTGTCACTCTTAACATTCTTTTTGCCTGAATGAAAATCCATGGCCGTGATCCAAAACTCCAAAGGGCTCCGATAAGCACCCAGAGCCTCAGTTCAAGCAAAAACAATGCAATTTCCTTTAATTGTGTTGATTGTTCCATGTGTGGATTGTACATCTTGCTTGCTCCATTGTATTTTTTGTATAATCTGGAACGTCAGCCCAGTCACACTTTTGGACATGTTTTGTTGCAGCTGGGGCAGATGAAGGCATTTGGTTGTGCTGACGCAGGTGTATTGTGACATTTCTTCATTGTGCACTGCTCCCATTTCTCTTCTGATCATGCTGGCGGATTTTTTCCAGGCACTGTGGTCGTCTGCAAGGGATTCCCACACAGCTGGTGACAGTTACTAAGCTATCCCTATTCAGGAACAGGCATAGTTGGCACACACACTGAAACTGGTAATAGGTGCTCCAGAGGTCATTTGAGTCTGGGGCGCTGACTTGCCCACCACATTGGGGCCCCCTGGTGTCATGTTCTGTCCCTGCCCGATGGGCCACACTTGCCCGTCAGCGGTGGGGGGGCGTGGAGGGTGACCACCTGCCATGCCAGTGGTCACCCTGGGGTGGCAGGGCTTGCCCCCCTGCCTAGAAATATTGAGGAGGCTGAAGACCAGCCGCCCACTATAGCTGGTGCACCTGTTTGATCTTCCAGTAACAATGATGGATCCAAAAGCATTCCCAGACTACATACCTGTTACTTCAGACGCACTGCAGGCACAGGAAACCCCCTCTGCCTAATTCTTGACCCCCAGATTCACTTAGCCCAGGGACTCCATCTTAGTGGGATTTAGTTTTAGATTATTGGCCCACATGCAGCCAATCACCGAGCAAAGACACCGAGCCCATGACCACTCCTGACTCAGGGGTAATGGAAAAACAGAGCATATCGTCACCAGCATACTGATGCCATCTTGCTCCAGATCTCCTAATGACAGCTCCCAATACCTTCACACATATATGTTGGGGACAAATGTTCCATCTGAAGTGACCAAAGGGGTAAAAAAATGAGGAAAAATAGCATTTTTCTCTTTGAATAAGCTGTCTTGCGGTCTTTTCAGACAATGGTTTCTTTGACAGCATCTGTTATGAGGAAAGGACATTCCCCCCCCAGCACTCCATTTCATAGGTCTCAGTAAATATAATACAACTTTTCTCACAGCTGGCACTTCTACTAGAGCCAGGGCTTTTTCGGCTGTGGCTCCGATCTGGTGGAACGCTCTGTCGCAAGAGACTAGGACCCTGCGGGACCTGACATCTTTCCGCAGGGCCTGCAAGACAGAGCTGTTCCACCAGGCCTTTGGCCAGGGTGCAGCCTGACTCCCTCCTCTGGCAATCTGCACAGAATTTTGCTTAACGGTTGCCATCAATTTGATTTTAATTAATTTTTATAATGAAATGTTTTTAGAATGTTGTATTATTTTATTGTTGTTAGCCGCCCTGAGCCCGGCTTCGGCTGGGGAGGGCGGGATATAAATAAAATTTATTATTATTATTATTATTATTATTATTATTATTATTACTGTGACACCTGCACTAGTATGGTGCTTCTGTGGTCCATAGGTCAACCTCCCTCTACAACGTTTGCTGACAAGTAAGGACTTGTTTTATTTTTTGTTTCCTGTGACTACCATGGAGTAGATATTGAATGTATAGCTACAGATTTGGGGTACCAGAGTTTGGGGGTGGAAAAGTGCCCATAACATTGGTGAACGTTAGAAATTACTGAATGCTAGGAGTCTTCTCCTAGGATAGAAGTTGTTCAGCATGACAAAGGTATTGATGGCCCATCAAAGGAGGATGCTAGGGTCTGTGAAACAGAGGTTGCCAGGGTAACGTGGGTGTGATATCACACTGGAAAAATGTTGTCCTATAAAAAACAGAAATCTGGAGAAAGGGGGCAGAGAGAAGGGGAGGTGTTGCATTTGGCAAGGCATTCTGGGAACAAGAAGGAGGCTGTACTAAGAGACTGGGGGCCATGACTGGCTGCTTCATTGGACTCAAGCTTGTTTGAAACTATTAAAGGAGCAATGGGGGACACTCTTGGGGCGTAATGTTCTGCACCCCTTCCATTGAAGGCTCTAGGTGTAAATATGTGTAAAATAAACCATATTTTTAAAAGACACTAGTCTCCACTATTCCTTGATTCCCCAACAAAGCCACAACCCGGGGTGAGTGCCTGGAACCCCCCTGGTAGCTTGCTACCTCTTGGCAGAGATTAAGGGTGGTGTGTAACCTTATGTTCTTGTATAGTTCTAACAGGTGCTATTATTATGTTTTCGCCCATCTTTTAAGCAATAGCTATTAAACGTGATTTTGTTGTGCCTTTTACAGCTGTAAGAAGCTTTGAGTCCAGAAGGCTGCTCTATGGTATGTCAAGCTCAGCAATGTCTATACTGGCTGACACTACCTCTCTAGAATCATAGAAAATGTAAAGTTGGAAGGGACCATGAGGGTCATCTAGTTCAACTCCCTGCAATGCAGGGATACTTTGACCAATGTGGGTTTTGAACCCACAACCCTTAGATGAAGAGTCTCATGTGCTACCAACTGAGCTATTGAGTTTCAGGCATGCCAGAGGTTGAACCTGGAGACATCTGTAGGAACAAAGCATGTCCTCTACTACTGAGCTACCCCTGGAGGGAAGAATGTATGATTCTGTTGTTGGTGGATTTGGGGATGGGGCCTTCTTTGCAGTGGCTCTCCATCCCTGAATTAATAAATATAATATAAATTTATAAATAATAAACTATTATTATTGACAACTGAAGGCGGCCCTGTTTAGGGAAGTTTTTAATGTCTGACGCTGTATTGTTTTTAATATTCGGTTGGAAGCCGCCCAGAGTGGCTGGGGAAACCCAGTCAGATGGGCAGGGTATAAATAATAAATTACACTGGTCAACAACAAATTTGTTGTCTGCGTTTTTTCAGCTGATTTAGGACAAATCTGATGCGCTGAATCCAAAAATCACATTGGTTTTGCTCAATCAGGTCAAGTTTTTGAGCTATGGCCACATGTCATTTTTTTACATTTTTGTTCACATGTACGCTTGTGTGGAGCATTTTAGAAGAAGTTGGTGGGGTAAAATGCCATGTCGAATAATTGTTTTGATTGGAAATGATTATTTTAATGACAAGAAGTATTCAGGTCCGATAGTTCTGGGTGATTATGTCAAAAAGGGATCAGTTTGAAGTCATAAAACCTTGAAATCTTCCATAAATTGGTGCGGCAAAGCATAAAGTTGGGGGATCAAAACCCCTGGCTCACTCGAGTACACTGCAGGAGAACTATGAAGGGGTGAAGTATGTGCTGGAGAAAATTGGTTATGATCAGCATAAGTGGTTTATTTGTGTTGACCTGAAGATGGTGAACTTTTTGTTGTGACAACAGTCTGGTTTCACTAAGTACCCATGTTTTCTGTGCATGTGGGATAGTAGGGACCGTGCTCAGCATTACACAAAGAAGGACTGGCCTGTGTGGGAGGAATTGGTGCCTTGCAGAAAAAGGAACATCATCAATGACCCTCTGGTGGACAGAGACAGAATACTCTTCCCACCGCTGCACATCAAGCTCGGCTTAATCAAGCAGTTCACCAAGGCTCTGGACAAGGATGGTGACTGCTTCACTTACTTGTGCCAGGCTTTTCCAGGATTGACCATGGAGAAGTTGAAAGCTGGCATCTTTGACGGTCCTCAGATCCGTCAGCTCATCAGAGATCCAGAGTTCAGAAACTCAATGAACAAAGTGTAACTGGAAGTGTGGAAGGCATTTGTTCTGGTAGTGAAGAACTTTCTTGGCAACAATAAGGCCAGAAACTATGCAGAACTTGTCAACAACATGCTGACTGCTTTCAAAAACCTGGGCTGCAACATGAGCATCAAGATGCACTACCTATTTTCACATATGGACCGGTTTCCTGAGAACCTGGGTTCAATGAGTGACAAGCAGGGGGAGAAATTCCATCAGGACATGAAAGAGATGGAGACCAGGTATTAGGGTCGCTGGGATGCAGTCATGATGGCTGACTACTGTTGGACTCTGAAGAGAGACCTCCCTGCCGCTGAGCATTCCAGGAGTTCCAAGAAACGGAAGTTCAAGCCCTGAAGTTTGAAAAATGGTGAAGCAACATGCAATTTACGTGTACTTACCTTTATCAATGCCCACCATTCAGTTTACAGTAATCGATGTTTCTATCAGGTAATCAATATATATTGTTGGAAAAACATTTTTTTCTCTTGAAAACATATTTAGGATGATATGTGTTGTCAAAAATCAGCTGATAATGCCACAAAAATGTAATCGATTTTTGTCACAAGATCTGATTTTTTTCAAATCAACATAGCACAAAAACCTGACCTGATGGAGAGAAACGGATGCCATTTCCTGATTCAGCAGTGAAAAAATACCCTAAATCAGTTGTAGAAATCTAGACAACATTCAAAAAGTAAAAAATTGTTGCCCAGTGTTATTATTATAAATTATTATTATCTCACCTTTGAGGTGTTTCTAATACTGACCTTATTTTCCTTTGAGTGGCAGCTCAAGACATAATACTTTTAGCCTTCAAGGTTGAATGATACTGTTGGTCTATTAGATATGCTGATTTTTGCTTGTTTATTAGAAGCTGCTGTTGTTGTGCATTATTTTGGTATTATATTTGCAACGTTGGGTTTTAGTCTGCAATTATTTTGCCATGTATCATCACCCTGGTCCCTTTTTTGAAGGTAGGATTACAAATTTGGTGCATAAAATCACTGACTCCTATATGCATAGAGGAAGAATTCAGTATAGAGTTATAAAGGAAAAAGGGACTTGACTCTAAGGTATTGTCTGCATACTGTATATGAAGTATATACAGGTAGTCTCTCTCTCTCTGTGTGTGTATGTATGTGTGCTTGCAGTTGGGCCAATAAGAACAAGCACACGTGCTACATTTCTATTGGTGTTGAGCACATAGTACTTGTCAGCTGCTATCTACAACTTATTAAGCCATCTACTTTTTTAAAAAGGAAGAATTGGGTTTATTGTGTAGGAGATTTTCTTATATATAAAAAGGAAATAATCCCTACGGTGACTTGAAGGTTATCTGATCAAGAGTCAAGTCGTTGGATTCATCTGCTGAAGAATTATGTAAAATCTAGTTTATTTTTTCGCTTTTACTTACCCTCTGTGTGTTGTTATGACATCATTCCTCATAAAGGTAGAAATGGATTATCAAGCCCACAAAACAATGAGTTCGTATGCGATCTAGTGAATATCCCAAGAGTGGAGGGAACAAGACATAATTTGAAGCTGGAGCCGAGAGTGATTTATGATTGTCATTGTCTTGCTAGTTCAGATACTTTCCATATGTTCCTGTAGAAACCCCCTTAATGTACAGTATGCAAAAAACATATGTAGCAAATTAGGGACTCTTTAATTCTTTCTCCCCCTTGGATATGTTTTGATTTAAGAATGACAGTGTCTTTGTTTATCTGATCTATTGTGTCCAGCCTAATTTTTTTAAAAGGGGGCACTTGGAACATGAAAGAGAGTTTCTAGAAGACAATAGCATGTTTTGCTTTGGCGGCTGTCGGAAAGCAAGCAAGGTGTTCTTAAGATGCTAAAGCGTCCCATTGCTTCGGATTTATGGCTTAACTTCTGTATCACGCTTAGCTTGCCTTACACATAGCATATTCTGTATCACAACAAAACGCCCTCAAGGCGCTCACCTCTTCCAATCAGGGGGGAAATGCATGCCTTGTTCTTTTCCTTTCCTTTCTCCCAGCTGTTGTGTATTATGGCCACATAAGCACCATACATTAAAAGCACCATCATACCATTTTAACAAGCCATGGCTTCCCACATGGCTGTGAGCTGTAGGGTACTGAGAATTGTTAGGAGACTTCCTATTCCCCTCATAGAGCTCCCCTTGGAAGGGCCAATTATTATGCCGCTCTGGGAATTGTAGGTTTCCTAACCACCCTCAGCATCCTTATCAATCTACAGTTCCCAGAATTCTTTGGAGGAAGCCTTTGGAGGAAGCCAGGACTCTTTAAAGTGGTACAAAAGTGCTTTAAGTGTGTAGTACAGATGTGGCCTCATATCTATTACTTAAATGGAATAATTTGAAGATGAAACTATTCCTCTTATGGTAACAGCAACACTCAAACTGTTGTGGCACTACTCAGTATGTTTTAATGACCCATGAAAAACCACACTATATTAGATAGGCTGTTTGATCTTCCCCATTTCCCTCCACTGGTTGTTTAATATATGAGGGAACATTTATGAACTAAATAAATCTCAGCCTCAAAGTACCTACAGAGAAGACTTTGTTTAGTACCCATATGGAATAATTTACACTGTGTCATCTTTGTTCTGTTGATTATTCAGTCACAGATAGCCATTGTCTGCAACAAATCTTCCCGACCAATTCTGCTGTGAGAACAAAACCATAGAAGTATCTTGGCAATGTTTTTCACTCATAACTTGTGTTTTGTTTTGACGATACAATGCGGATTTGACGAAATGTCAATTAATTAAGACAATACAGTAGTTGCTTCTTTTAGGGCCACAAACAGATATCTGTAGAAAGACTTTGATAGTATAAGGTTGCTTCCTTTGTTCCTAACTAGGGTCAGCTGGAAAACTCATTGGGTGCCCTTGGGTCTCCCACCCACCCCACAGGGGGCCTGGGAGGGGGAATACACAAGAAGGGAAAAACCTTGTTCACCTCTCTGAGGTTATTGGAGGAAAGGTGAGATAACATATTATTATTTACATGTATACTATTTAGAAACATGTATCCAGAGCTCAGCTGTGCAAGTAAGCTTCACTGAAATCAATGGGATGTACATCTGAATAAACACGTTTAAAACTGATACATTACTACAATTAGCCAAAACGTATTTGTAGGGACCTACTTTTATGTTCTCTGGTAATTATGCAAAGCAGAAATTGTGCCACTGTTCAAGTACATGGCTTGGGATTTTTTTTAATTTTTTTTTTTTTGGTAAGTGGTTCTTCTCTTCCTTCCAGCAGGTGGTGCCTGAGAACCTAAAATGCAAGCTTCTGGTCACTGGATGCTAATTGTTCAGAAAACTGTCTTGCTTTATCCATGAGATGGCTGTCCAGGATTATTGCATCACAGATCTAACTCAGGAAGCTCCAAAGTCAGACCAGCAACGCTGGGAAAGTAGGGGAAAAACTGGCACACCCCAACTCTTTCAATGGTAAGCTTCTTTGTCAGTTTCAACCCTTGTTTAGATTATTCATTCAGTTCATTCAGCATTCATCCTGACTTGTGTGTGGAAAGCATACATCATGGTAGTGATGAGCGAATGAGTCCATTTCAGTTTCTCTCAGCTTCTCATTTTTCCAGTCTTCAGTTTCGTACCCCATATTTCCACGTGAGTCGGAGATTATTTTTAAAATAAAAAAAGTTTTCATGAAAATTCATCAGTAATTTAATGTGAATATCTCTCAACAGGAACATAAAAAGAGTCTGAGGGACTAGGCCAATGGCCCATTTAGTTCAGCATTCTGTTCTCCCAGTGACCAACTAGATCACTGTGGGAAACCAGAG